CCCTACCGCCTGCTCTTAAGAAGCCAGTAAGACTGTGCTCTGTGCATGGATGGCGCAGCTCAGGCACAGTGCTTTATTGGACTACAAAGAGGCAAGGTGTGGCAGCACACTTGGCTCTTGAGTGTTGCAGAGGGAGACAGATCCCAGGGGCCAGCCCAACTCTACAGTACGGGAGATGCTCAGAGGGCAGTGGAAAGTGTGAAAGCTCCTAGCAACAAGCTGTTCACTGAGGTGCCTTCATGGGAATGACTGTGAATAGGAAGGGGTGCAGGTGACAGAGGGCAGGCTTCAGTAAAGGAAAAATAGTCTTGAGCACCATCAGGCAGCTGAGCAGGGACTTGGAAGTAGAAGTGTACCGATACACCGGTTTGATATTGGATCAGGACCAACATAAAGAAAATTGACTATATTGGAAGTTGGCTTGATGCGACCGATAAATTTGGCTGATAAATGCCTGTGCTTGCACACAGCTGCAGCGCAGCACACAGGCAGTGAGGAGCACAGGCTGGCAGACTGGAGCACTGCATGCAGCTGGTAAGTCTTGTGGTAGAAGGGGAGGGGGGAGGGAAGGGGTGTGGGGGGCAGATCAATGCTCCCCACAGTGAGGGAGTGGGGCAGGGGTTGCCCAGCTGGGGCTGGCATGGGACAGAGCCACCACCGCGCATACTTCAGGATCACATTAAGGGGGACTTGTGCCTCTGGGTCTGTGTGAAGTGGGGTGGGCTGCATCTGCAGGCTGGGGCTAGGCTGGGGTCTTCTTGGCACGTGGGGGTGGCTAGGCTGCACTGCGCTCAGGGCAGGTGGTGGCGGCTCTGGGAAAGGGGCTACGGGGGGGGAGGGGTCTGCAGCCACCCCAAATTTTATCATAACTCCCCCATAGCCAACTGCCCAGTGTCACCGCCACCTGCCCAGAGCACAGCACCCCCTCATGCGCCGGGAAGAGCCCAGCCCAGCCCCAGCTGCACCCTGCCTATACATCCTGACTTCCTCTTTGATGCTTTAAGGAATGCCTTTAACCCAGGGGCAGCCAATTATTTTGGGCAGAGGGCCTCTTATTGAGTTTTGGCAAGCCATTGAGGCCCGCATGATAGGCAGCCAGGGGCAGATAAATATTAAATTTTCTAAATTTTTTAGGGGCCCCGTGGGCCGGATAGAATGGCCTGGTGGGCTGCATCCAGCCCCCGGGCCGCATTTTGCCCACCCCTGCTTTAACCCCAAGAGCTGTCCAGTAAAGTGCTCAACTCCCTGCCTTTCCTCAAGCTGCTCCACAAGAGGACAGTTAGGAGCTATTATGGAATGGTAAGAGTGCAATGTAGTGAACAAGGGACACCCCCTCCTCTGATGTTTCCCTTGCATACGTCTTGTTGCGGATGTCTACGGCACAGGCACAACGAATCACTGATGCAAGCAGGGTCCAGATGCCAAAGGTCCGAGCCTGAAGCCCATTCACTGTGCAAAGGAGAAAAGGGAATGGATAAGGAACAAGTATTTTCCTTCCCAGGAATCAGCCTCTCCCCAGGTTGGGCCAAGCAACACACAAGATCTCCTAGCTAGTGCCCTCACATTCAAAGCATGCAGGAGGAAGCAACGAGCTCAGAGATGATGAAAAGGCTATTGAGTGGGTGTTTCCAGAGCTGCTATGAATCCAAGCCCCGCTCCTCTGCCAGCTAGAGGCATCAAGGAGGGAAACGGGCAGAGGTGGCTTGAATGCCAAGAGGATCACCAAGGTAACAGTGCGCTGCTGCCCAGCAACACTGCTTGGCGACAACAGTGGCCACGTTTGCAGGCTGGGCGAGTTGTACCTACTGCCCCCCCACCCAGGTGCAGGCAGTGGTCAGCAGGCCACAGAGGGGTCTGTGAGAGGAGGAGTGGGGTGGGGCTGGCGCTCTCTGCAGAGGCACAGGAGGACACGAGCCGGCGGCTCCTAGGAGGACGAGCGTGGGGCTGGAGTGCCTGGGAGCCCGTGGGAGGGGCAGGCCCAGCCCCGGAGAAGGGGCACCCGGGGCTGCTCACCCAGGCTGGGCGCGTCCGTGTACAGCTTCTCGGACAGAAAGCCGTGGTCGCGGAAGCTCTGCAGTGTGTTCCCCAGTGCCACGATGGACACCATCACCAGCCAGCTGCGCAGCACGTTCAGAAAGCGGCTCATCCCTGTGCCCGCGGCCGCCTGCTCGGGGACACGGCAGAGGTAGAAGCTCAGCGCTGCTTGGAGCCTGTTCTCCCCTTCGCCCCGCACGCCGGAGCTGCCCAGGGCTGCGGCGGGCAGGGGGACCACGCGGGGCCGCCCAGTAGCTCCAGGCCAGGGCAGCGCCGGCTGATGCTGCGCTGAGCCCGGGAGGCCCGCCCCGGCCCGGCGCCGCCCCGCCCCGCCCCGCCCGC